TATATATATATATATATATATATATATATATATATATACATGCATTTATCAGAATATTTCTGAAGTGTTTATAAAGTGCAGAAATATAAAGTGCAGAGTGGGGGAAGGTTTGTGATGAGTGCCACGTTATGTGTGACGAAAATTTTCTTGACGTATTCTGTCAAGTAACAAAATCAATTTCACGCTTCGCAATGCGAAGTGTGTATGGTATTACAACATGGGTTTTTTGGAAGATACATTCGTGATCCTAATCACACAGGTGGAAATTTATTTCCACTAATAAAAATAGAATCTTGCCGGTACACGTAGATGTTACACATGTTAGGTTATAAATGACTATATTTCTATTAAAGGATTGTAAACTGTAAAATTTATGTTATTTGATAAAACATTATTTTTATGAGCAATACAAATTTCGAAACATATTTATCCGAATATCGAAATACACAATATTCATTAATAAATGAATTTTGAATTTTTTTAAATTTTTAATACACAAACATTAGTTATTAAATTTTTACAACGTACTATGTATTGTCTGTATTAATGTTAATAATTTTACAATAAACGTAGCAATCAAATTTTATTATTTATTTTTAAAATAACAAATTATTGCCAATTTTACATAGTTGGATTATTAGATTTAATTATTTTACTTATATTTTCTTACTTATTTGTCTTACATATTGCAGATTATCTTCTTTTTGGGAGGATGGGTATTTTTTGTAAAAAAATTATTTCGAGATTATGAGGTCCATCATAGATTAGTACAACTAATTTTTTCCACTACATTTTCATTATCTTGTACTATGTTTGAGCTAATTATTTTTGAAATAATTGGAGTTCTTGACTCTAGGTAAGCAGTTCTTTAAACTAATTCTAATTGTATCAAACATTAATGTCATAATATATCTTAAGTTCCAGATATTTTCATTGGAATGTTGGTCTTTATATGCTTCTGTTTATGGTAATTGTCCTAATTCCATTTTACATAGCATATTTCATCATTAGTAATATTAGATTTGGTAAGTATATTTTATATACATCTACATTTAGTGTTTAATATAACATGATATACTTATCAATCATTTCTTTTTACAGTAAGACTGAAATTGATAAGACCATTAACATTTGTTGTGTATCTCTTTTATCTTTACTTATTTTGGAAAGTGGGTGATCCATTTCCAATTTTAAGTCCGAAGAAGGGCCTATTATCTATTGAACAAGGCGTTAGTAGAATAGGAGTTATTGGTGTCACTGTTATGGCACTGTTATCAGGATTTGGTGCTGTAAATTATCCATATACCTCAATGGCTTATTTTATGCGACCTGTAACATATGCTGATGTACAGGTTATAGAAAAACGATTATTGCAAACAATGGATATGATTGTAGCTAAAAAAAAGAGAATAGCATTAGCTAAAAAGGGAGAAGTTGTAGAGCAAAACGGAGCTCGATCTCGACTTTGGGGAATGTTTGGCCCTTTAAGTGGTACTAAAAGTAATCAGGAAAGTATGTATTGCATTCTTCGATATACTTAAGACATAAAATTGTGCATATACATTTCATGAAATGTACTTACAGGTATTAAACAGTTACAAATTGAAGTTACAGCGTTGGAAGAATTATCTCGACAATTATTTTTAGAAGCACATGACATTCAAAATGCAAGAGAACGTTTAGAATGGGCTGCTACTTGGCAGGGAAAATATTTTAATGTTTTAGGATACTTTTTCTCAGTGTATTGTACTTGGAAAATATTCATTGTAAGTAGAACTATACAACAGAATCACGTAAAAAACTATATATTTGAAATTTATGTTTTTAGTCAACAATTAATATCGTTTTTGATCGTGTGGGTAAGAAGGATCCTGTTACTAGAGCAATTGAAATTGCAGTACATTGGATTGGTTTTGATATCGATGTTACATTTTGGTCTCAACATATTTCCTTTTATCTTGTTGGTTGTATCGTATTAACATCAATTCGTGGTTTGTTACTAACACTTACGAAGGTATATACTAAATAAATATTTTTGGAACGAAGATTGAAAACAATTTTTAAATATCAATTATTTTGTTCTAGTTCTTTTACGCGATATCAAGCAGCAAATCCTCGAATATTATTGTACTTATACTTGCTCAAATAATGGTAAGATTATTCTGGATTATTCTGGATTCTTTTATATGGGTAAAAATAATAATAACGTTCATATTTCATTGATGATACAATATATATTTTTTGCAGGGCATGTATTTTGTATCATCTGTGCTTCTAATGAGAATGAATATGCCTGCGGAATATCGGATTATAATAACTCAAGTTTTAGGAGAATTGCAATTTAATTTTTACCATAGATGGTTTGATGTTATATTTTTGGTATCTGCATTATCATCAATAGTGTTTTTATATTTAGCTCATAAACAAGCACCCGCAGAACGTATTTAATTTAATAAAATATTTTTTTAATGAAATCAAAAAATTTCTTTATAACTTCGTGTTTACAATTCCTTTGATTACATTTTCAGAATAAAATAATTTTGATTAAAGAAAAAAGAAATAAAGACAACATTATATTATATAGATATAAAAATTAGTTACAAAATATATGAATGTTAAATTCAATGTATTAAGTATTTAAATATTTATTTCTAGGAACATATTTAATGCTCCTATTTCTAATACATATCATTTTATCAAAGTTAACATGCATAATTATAAACTTTGCAGATTGAGTAATAGTTTCACATCGTCTATTGTTTAATTAATTAAAAGTAATTTTTAATTTGCTGAAGTATATATCATTTATATTAATTCTATGTTGGATTTATTTCATCACGTTATACAATGACATTTTAATCGCATACAATTGATAACGTGAATAATAGAAAATTGGCATTAATGTATGATTACTGAGTCTATAATGAACAACATTCTAATGGATCAGTTCGATACTCCACTCTTCTCCCATATTTACACTTGGTTTACGCACGGTTAATACATTATTATTTGGATTGTACTTAGTCTCCAAACTAACTTTTGTCATACCTAAAATGAAAGTAATTCGTAATTTAATATTGCAGAATTAAATTACATATTTTTCAATTAAATTAGGATAATACTTACTACGTGAATTTAATATAGCAGATTTAACTCCTTTAGGTGGATTTGCAATATCTACTCTTTCTAACCAGCTTTCTGTCTGATATGAAGATAATTTGTCTATGAATGTGGAAGTTAATTTATTTCCATCAAAATTGAGCCTCAAATATAAATATTTGCCATGACGATATTCAAAACTAGCTTCATCATCGATGTACAATGTACCATTAGCTTTACCCGCAGAATCTGTGGTAACTATTAACGTATAGGGATCATTCTTCATCGCGACTGTACTACGACGTATTCTCATTTTACGTGGAACAATAGAACCGCCTCTTTGGAATACTGGAATCTTATGAAGAGTTACCGGAATATTAACTAAGCCTGGTTGATGATGTGGTTGTAGAGTATCAACATCATACCAAGTTACTTTGCCTTCTCCAGGAAAATATACGTTTACATCTGTAACAGATGGTTGAAAAACTGGACGTACGAGTATAGAGTCTCCAAGTAATATTTCATCATCAATAGCATATGTTTCAGTTTCACTTGGATAATGAGCCCATAAAGGCCGCACTACCGGAGTGCCATTTACTTCATGTTCGCGGAAAAGTGTATACCATAATGGTAGATATGAATATCTCATTCTAAAAGCCTCTCTGACAATTTGAATAGTTTCTTCATTAAATAACCAAGGCTCACGTCGTTTAGTTTCAATATGAGAATGCTGACGATAAAAAGGAAGCCAAGCACCAGCTTGATTCCATCTAATAAATAGTTCAGAGTCTGGATTTTTGAAGAAACCAGCAATGTCTGCTCCACAGAATGACATTCCAGAAACTGCTAAAGAGAGACACATTGGATAACTTATACGTAGATGATCCCAGTCAGCTGTATTATCACCAGTCCACATGGCTGTATAACGTTGTGAACCAGCAAAAAAAGATCTCACAAGGGTAAATGGCCGTAGCGAGCCTCCTGATCTTCTAAATAAAGCTTCATATGTGGCTATAGACATAAGAAGACCGTTAATATTGTGAATACTTCTATGCTCCCAACCACCATAATGGATTACATCTTTAGGCATAGTTACTTCAGGGCCATTAAACACGCTTGGTTCATTCATGTCGTTCCAAATATACACATCATTAGTTGTACCATGGAATTTATCTAAACTATATTGGCTCATATAATATTCTCGTACTGCTGGATCGAAGAAGTCTAAATACGAGGATGATCCTGGCCAACACCAACCTTCGTAGTCTTTTCCATCTCTTGTTTTAACATAATAACCCATTTTTGTGGCATCATTATGGACGAAGTAACCAGGATCGCGTTTGATATGCGGATCAATAATTACAACTAATTTTCTACCTTTTGCGGTTAAATTATGTATCATTTCAATGGGATTTGGAAATCTTCGTCCGTCCCAAGTAAAATATTTTTTACTGTCAGTGTACTCTATATCTAGCCACATAACATCTAACGGTATATCATGTGTATCAAAGTTTTCGGCTGTTTGTATAACATCGTCTTGATCATTATAATTCCAGCGAGACTGATGATAGCCTAAAGCAAACATTTGTGGCAAAGGTGCTGTGCCTGTTAAGATTGTGTATTGTTTAAACACGTCTAGAGGTTTAGGACCTAACATAAAGAACACATCAATTACACCAGCTTCTGACATGAAATGGGCATCCACTTGCGATTTTTTAGTGGATCCAGATACAAAGTTAACGATACTTTCTACAACATTATTGTCTGCACTTGATAAAATATCGATCCACGTTTCTGCAGCATTATGCCAGAAGATACCAGTTGTTCTTTCTTTACCATGAGCATAGAGCACAGGTATTGCACCATAAATTGACATTCTTTCATTAACTTCATATTCAAACACATCTAAATTATATAATCTGTAAGGCTGAGCTTGTTTCGTAGACTTTAGAGCAAATGAATCTGCATGTTCCGGTACACCATATGCATGTTCAGCTCCAGGAAAACTGAAGTCCAAGGCAACTGCTTCTGGGCCAAAAGGTTTTGAATCATGATGAGTTTTGAAACTTTCCTCCCAAGCACCTGGATCATCATCTGCTCCATCACCTGGTGCATTATCATTAACATTTATTTCAACATTTTTAGCATTTTCTTCTTGTTCTGGTTTCCTATTGAAAATGACCAAAGAAAACCATTAATTATACTTAATAATTAAACATGATATATTGAAAATAATTTTTTCTGAAGCATACTTAGGTTTTGTGCGATGATGTTCGAATCTCATAAGACCTCTTGCATTTGCAGATACAACCAATATATTTTGAGAATACAAATCTACTCTAAATGGATTAGTATATAATATAACTTTGTTTTCATCATTTGTTATAGTTATATGATCTGCAGTTTTCTCAATTAAATTTAATTTAGATACTTGTGGTTGATCTTGAAGAGCATATTCAGGCTCGTATCTTCGATGTAATGGATTTTTCTCATTGATATGGAGTCTAAATGTATTATCCTTTAATGTAGTTAATTGTAATATGTAAAGAACTCTTGTATCCTTATTAAACAAGTCTATATTTATACTCGATTCATTTTGAACTAATGTATCTGTTAATAATTGATATGGTGTTTTTCCAGGTTCAACTTTTCTGCAACGTCTAGTAACATTGATCTAACATTAATAACGGCAATAATTAGCTAAATTAATTTCAAAAAATTAAAGAAAATATTGGAAACTTACCTGCAAAAGCTGCTTTGTTCGCACGTTTTAAATACATCTCTATTAACTGCATCAATAAGAAGGAAAGAGCAGACTAATAGTAACAGTAATCCCAATCTATAATATAAAATATTAAATTTATAAAATTTTCTGTTACAGAAAATACGTTAAATTCGTTGATATCAATTACGTTTTATTCCTGAATAATAGTGGAAAGAACATTATTGTTACTTATTATCGTTGCTTCTGTAATACAATTAATTGTGTGCTATTTAATGTGGCTTTTTCAACTGTTCTGAATAGATAACGACATTTTTATAAACAAATTAAGAGAAAGGCGATGCTGCCTGCCGAATCAAATCACGATATTGTCATGGGACACGTCAGCGTGATCATGATTGGATTATAAAACTAAAAGTACAAAGTTCGTTACTTTGTATAAGCAAGATAAATTAAATATGGAATATTTTGTATTACGGTATATCCCGTTCATCAAGAATTAGCTTTGTTTTTTTGAAGGTTAAAAAGCCGAAAGTAATTAACTTACCGTACATACGAGGCCATGTTGAAAAGTAATTTTTGCCATAGATAGTGTGTAAAACAGACATATCACTTTATGGAGGCTTGATATTCTCCGTTCTGAAATACCGATTGCGAAAAAAGTCGGAGACCACACACGAGGTATGTGAATAGACCTCGCATACAATGTATTTTGATGTAAAAATAAATATCTTTAAACGAAACAAATTCTGAATTGTTAAAGGGAAACTTCATTCTTTAAAATAAAATCAAGTTAATTGTTCTCCAATTTTTTTTCACGAAATTATAACAGTTTGAAATATCAATAATTTTTTATCAACTGTATAAATATTTTCGTTTTTTAAGAATGTCTCATGAATTTTGATTTAGATCAAAGTTTTTTATTTTTTATTTCAAATTATCATTTCGTGCGAAACGAGCGATTACAACGCCTCAACGTACGGAATATATTTTCTACGATTCTCGAACGTAATCGATATTTTTCACGATCGATTTTTAAGCAGGAAGAATGCTGGAAAGGAGCATACTTCATCTGTAAAGAAGAAAATATTATCCAGAAGAATCATTCAAAAAGAAGTATCATCCAGAAGTTCTCAGGTAAAAATCAATAGCTGTTAGATTTGTGTTCGTGTTGTGTATTTTAAATTAAAACTTGCATTTTTGGCTTCAATTCATCGAGATCTGCCAGATTATCGAAAAAGTGTATAATTTTTAGTATAAAATAAAGTAAAATTTAACCAAATAATTATTACACATAATTTTCAACAATTAAAGAAATAATTGCATTTAAACAGAACACACTATGTTAAAAGTTATTTATAATTTTATACCAAAATTTAATATCAATTCTAACCAGTAGAAATATTATAATCTTGTAATTAACCAACTTATTGTTATATACATACATACATATATATATATATATATATATATGTATGTATGTATTTTATTATATGTTTTTACATTCACACTCCTATTATAACATTCTACTTATTTATTGATTCTTTAACTTCATACTGCATAGTTCTTAACAATTCTAATAGTAAAAAACAATTGCACGATGAGATGTATCGCGGAGAGTCATTCGAATTTTGTGACAACATGTATTACGTCATATTAGGTTCATAACTTTTCTTTATTGTCTCTTCGATGGCGTTGCTTCTTCGACACTCTTCTACTTTCATTTCTACCTCATTAATAGTATCGTTTAATTAATATGCGTGTGTTTAACGATTTATTAAGCATTACGTAACGTAAATCGTGTAGTGCTTTGAAACTTTCTGCACCGAATTTTCTTCAATCGTCGATTTCTCGTACTGGTAGCTTGTCTCGTACACTTCTTTGATAGAATATGAAATTGATTATTCGTTTTTACATATTTACCTGCATTTGACATTTGTTCTAACTTGTAAAGATAGCATAGAGATAGCATAGCCACGATTATTAATGGATATTAATGGAAATTTAGTAACATTTTATTTTCGGTAACATTTAGTATACAAGCTATATATATTTGAGG